GGAAGTTGAAGGCTGCTATCAAATCCCCACTCACTCTTCGCTTCTGCAGACTAAACAGACCCAAATCCCTCAGCCTCTCCTCATAAGTCATATGCTCCAGCCCCCTAATCATTTTTGTTGCCCTCCACTGGATCCTCTCCAATGCGTGCTCATCCTTTTTGTAGTGGGGGTCCCAGAACTGGACACAATACTCCAGATGCGGCCTCACCAAAGCCGAATGAAGAGGAATGATGACATCTGCTGGCAATGCTCCTCTTAATGCAACCTAATATGCCATTAGCCTTCTTGGCTACAAGGGCACACTGTTGACTCATATCTAGCTTCTCATACACTGTAACCCCCAGGTCCTTTTCTGCAGAACTACTATTTAACCGGTTGGTCCCCAGCTTGTAACTATGCTTGGGATTCTTCCGTCCCAAGTGCAGGACTCTACACTTGTCCCATCCACTGTATCCCCCAGGTCCTTTTCTGCAGAACTACTATTTAACCGGTTGGTCCCCAGCTTGTAACTATGCTTGGGATTCTTCCGTCCCAAGTGCAGGACTCTACACTTGTCCTTGTTGAACCTCATCAGATTTCTTGTGGCCCAATCCTCCAATTTGTCTAAGTCATTCTGGACCCTATCTCCGCCCTTAGGCATCTTTTAGCCTTTTTGTTCTATTATTGTTTTTCTATTTGGTACTAGAAAATCAAACTTTCCTCCTGCTTGGGCCTCAAGTTTCACTCCAGCAGCCCTTCCACAAGTAGAATCGTCTGCAAAATAAAATGTCAGGGCTACCGTCATTAAGGTGCTTGTCCCTGTAAGGACATGTGACTGAACTGGTTGTTCAGAAGGTTTCTGGTGAATTGGTTTATGCACAGGTATGCCTCCCGTTCTTCTTTAACTGCTGACTATTCCTAATCACTTTCCTCTCATCCAAGTGCCTCAGTATGAATTCCTTAAGGATCCCTTCCATGATTTTTCCAGGAACCGAGGTAAGACTGACTGGCCTATAGTTCCCTGGATCATCCTTCTTCCCTTTTTTGAAGATGGGCACTACATTTGCCTTTTTCCAGTCATCCGGGATTTCTCCCGATCTCCACGACTTTTCAAAGATAATAGCCAAAGGCTCCACAATGACATTTGCCAACTCCCTCAGTACCCTCGGATGAACTAAGTCCGGACCCATGGATTTATGTACGTTTAGCTTTTCTAAATAGTTCCTAACCTGTTCTTTACCCACCACGGGCTGTCCATCTTCATCCCATCTTGCGTCACTTGGCGCAGAAGTCCAGGAGCCGACCTTGTCCCTGAATACAGAGGCAAAGAAGCATTGAGTACTTCAGCTTTCCCCACATCATCTGTCACTAGGTTACCACCCTCATCCAGTAGGGGCCCCACACCCTCTCTGATCACCTTCTTCTTGTTAACATTCCTGTAGAAACCTTTCTTGTTATCCTTCACATCCTTAGCCAGTCGCAATTCCATTTGCGCTTTCGCCTTCCTGATAACCCCCCGGCATTCT